AGACAGAATAAGGCTGTGATGTAGGGGGTTTAGGTTTTAGGGTTTAGGGTTTAGGGTTCAGGGTTTAGGGTTCAGGGTTTAGGGTTTAGGGTTTAGGGTTTAGGGTTCAGGGTTTAGGGTTCAGGGTTTGTAGGCTTGATGTTATAAATCCTGCATTACCCATAATAAGGAATATATATATATATGTATTTATGTATGTATATATATATATATACATACCGTAACTCCCGTAGTTTTAGGACCCTTATAAGGTAATGCAGGATGTATATCCTCAACAGTACCTATAGTCTCCATTGTAGTTCCTTTTGGTGGATACCTTATAAAATCCTTAATATATAATTGGTTAAACCGAAAAAAGGAACTACAATGGAGACTATAGGCAGGGCTCAGAGTTTTGCCGCTTTGGGGTTTAGGCTTTGCGGCTTCAGGGCTGGAAGTTTACGGTAGGGCGGGGCTCACGGTTTAGGGTTTAGGGATTAGGGTTTAGGGTTCAGGGTTCAGGGTTTAGGGTTTAGGGTTCAGTAGGGTGGGGTTCAGGGTTTATAAGGGCTCCCCATTATCCTACTGTTGATCATGCTTATCCTACTGCTCATTCTTCGGCGCGGTCCTGTTCGCAACTGTCCTGTATCTTCCTCTTGAATGTTCGAAGTTCTTCTTCGCAACCTGGGAATCGAACATTCCAGTCGCATTCCCCTTCTACCAGCATGAGAAGTGTCACTGCATCTCTTGCGCAGAGACGGAGGGAGAGAGAAAGAGAAAGGTAAAGCGCGAGAGATCGAGAGAGAGAGAGAGAGATGAGAGGTGGAGTGTGAGAGGAAGACTTAAGACAGAGCCCCAAAGCAAAAGAGGGAGAGGGTGAGCGACAGGGAGCGAGAGAGAGAGGGGGAGAGAGAACGAGGCTGGAGACGAACAGGGAGCAGAACACTTTAGGGTTTAGTGTTTTAGGGTTTTAGGGTTTTAGGGTTTCAGGGGTGCCAAGGCACGGGAGGAGAAGGGTTCCGGGAAGCTGCCTCGGGTCTCCTTCTGGGCGACGCCTGCACATCTGCGACTCCCTTCGAAAGCGCTTCGGGACCATAATCCAAGAGCATATTCTTCAAAGCTGGTGCTTTGCATAGAATCTATGCAAATCCGACACGACAGCCCTTCAACAGGGGTTTCCGGACCCTAATCCAAAAAAGTGAGGTTCAATCTTTGGGCTTCACTAAATGGGACCTATATAGGATTTAGGGTCATAGCAGAACGCAGACCACTGCAGTGCCGGGGCACGCCGTCAATCTCGAAGTCTGAAAACTGTTAAAGTTGAAGCCTTAATGATATGAGAATAGGGTTTTGGGGTATATTGTACTCTAACTATTATAAGGAACCCTAAAATAGTTTAGGTAACTTTTTAGAGCCCTACGTTAACCCGAAGAAAGGGACATGGAACACTCTGAGGCTGTGCAGAGGCCGTCTGATATCTTAATGGCCCCGCGAGTCAACACGTCGACATCTTCAGGGGACCACTCCGACACCAGATCAAGATCAAGGAGAGCGAAAGGAGCAGGGTATACTGGGAGGAGGTGGCAGATTGGATCTTCGAGGCACGACGGACACTGAGGCGCAAGAACGGGCCCGAAGATATCGCCCCAGACTTTCGTTTGCTATGTCTGCCGCATGCCTCCATGCCTCAAGTCAAGCTTTTCAAATCAGCATGCATGTATGAGCAGGAACATGGACGCTCCTGCCGCTTGCGACTAGACGAAACCGGATATGCATGCCACCTAGTTTTCCAGCATGGTCCGCGCTGCCGACGGCAGTTTGCCAGAGGTGCGGACACATGTAGCAAGCATGGGCGTGCTGTTGTACCGGACCGGTACAAACCTTGACCGGTGCAGGAGGACCTTCAATGTGGCACCATACTATACCATGTACCCCGAATTATTTCCCCTCTTGTTGAGGCTCCTGTACTACATCCTGCACTGATCCTGGATTCCAAGCCTCTTCGCAAGGCGATGGCGCGGTGGCTGCTCACCAACAGCAGCAGCGATGTGAAGACCAGCATGGTGCTCATGATGCCAGACATATGAAGGGATCGCTTTTCGCAAACATCATGCTTGAGGCTAAACCGCTTCCAAGCACATCGCGAGAGCTCCGCTACTGTTAAGCCCTGAACTCACCCTCTTTGCGCTTCTTGTGGTTGGAACACCCGTGCGACGCTCCCCGGTATAACATAGTCCCATACTGTACACCGCTTCCAGCCATCAAGGCCGCTGTAGCCTCAGATTCAACTACTACTACTACTACTACTACTACTACTACTACTACATCCTATACCGAAGCCCTGAATATGAAACACTTGCGAATCTATGAAACCTTGCCAAAACTTAAAGCCCCAGTGCGGCCCTGGCTCCAAAACCCCAAACCCTGCCTCATGGTAGGAGCTAGGATTAGGGGGACCCTTGGGGATATAGACCCTCTCAATAAGGTCCCTTTGACTTTTGAAAAGAGCCAGAAGTAGGGTTAAGAAGGGTCCCCTTTAGGGGGTCTCCCTAATACTACTTAGGAAAAACCCCCAAACCCTGCCTCATGATGGTCTTGAGGCCGTGCCGCTACGCGTCAGCGCTCTTTGGATGGCGGGTTCTTGCAGGGTTTTGGGGAAGGGGCGCGGTTTCGGTAGGTTCTTACAAATGAGCTGTAGTGGTTGCATGGCGTGCTTGAAGCGATTTAATGTAGAGGCCTTAATAATTAGAATAGGGTTTCGGGGGTCCCTTATAAAAATTAGAGTAGAATATACCCCAAACCCTATTCCTGTACTCGTTAAAACCATAGGGTGTTAGATGAGCGTGCTATCCGGTTCGGCTTCTCTTGAGGGGCTGTTTGGTGTAGGTCTCAAAGTTCCCCAGTACCACGCCGAGGGCGTTTAGGGCCCTTTGTGGTTAAGTTTAGGGCTTGCGGTATTTGGAGTAGCAAAGGGCGATCACAGTAGGGGGTGTTGCCTTTTGAAACTTGCAAATGCTCCAACCAGCCACTCAAAGCTGCTCTTGCGCACCCCCTTTCCGCTTGTGGCCAAATCCATCACACAAACAGCTTCTGGCTCAAGTCTCACATGCAAACTTAGAGCTGCTGCTGTTGTAAGAATGGGACATATTAGAGACCAGCTCCTCCTGAAGTGTCAGCTGCTTACTGGCTGTCCTGGCTGGGTCTTAGCCCTCTCTAAGCATGTCTTCGCCCAGAAATGGCAAGAAGGCTGAAACGCCTACAGTCTGAGACAGGACAGGTTTCCGGGTTTTCGGGCTTGGGGCTTTAAGTTTTGGGCGTTTTTAGGGTTCAACCATGGCACCCTTCGAGCATCCACACGAAATCTGGGAATGCTGCCGTGTGATAGCAAGAATATGGGAGTTTCCGAAAATAGGGGGTACCTTATTTTGGGGTCCTTATAATAAGGATCCTACTATTTAGGGTACTATATTAGGGTCCCCTATTTTCGGAAACCCCCATATGTCACAGAAACTCACGGCCAGAGCTCCCAGAAGCAACAGCCGTGTCCGATTGATGCTGCCCTCCACGGCATTGGCTTTCGATTCTGCGTCTACTGCAAGAGAAGATGCCACTGCCATGATCTCTGCGCCACGCTTTCTCCCCAGCTCCATCGGCAATGCTTCACAGGTTTGTTGCAGTGCAACGAACTTGCCTGACTGTACATGGTGCAACCAGCCTGTGTGAGTTCAAACTACGATACCCGGATCTTATGCCGGGCCTTGATGCAAGTCTGATACTCGAAAGTATACTATCGGGGCCTCAATGTTCGGAACAGGGTTTGAGGGTACAATATTATGGTACAATTATCATGTAAGGAACGCCGTGGAAGAAGGTTGGCACATGTTCAGTCCCGGATAATCTGGAACAATACATAACGAACAATACACTGTCCTCCCGAGCGACTAACGAACAATACACTGTCCTCTCTATGGCCCAGTTTTAAACCAGAGGCGACTGTAAAAACTCCCCTAAACCCTAAACCCTTAGTTTAAGAACTAGTCACTAGTCTACCGTTTAAGGGTTTGTAGGGTTTAAGGACTGCCTAAGACAGCGGCAACTTGCAGCCAAATGCTCATTGAGGCGTATAAACGTGCGACATTACTAAGTGTAAGGGTATCATACGGGTTTAAGGGCTAGTAGACATTCTAAAATTGTTAGGGTTCCTGATTATCAAGGTACTATAAAGGAGCCCAGAAGCCTATTCTAATCATTAAGGCCCCTACATTACACCCTCATAGAGCCTTATATTAACCCTTATAGTAACCCTTTAAGGGAACCCTACTCTAATTATTAAGGCCCCTACATTACCCACAAACCTTAACCTAAAGCTCGTCTCCACCAGTCTTTCCGGGAGGAGCAGGCAGCTGCATTCGATGCTCACCTCGGCACGTCGCTTCAGGCTCTAAGGCTGTTCGTGCTTATGGGGCTGTAGGGTTTTAGGGTTTGGGGTTTAAGGGCTTGAAGTTTAGGGGTTTCGGGTTTTTGGGTTAGGGTTTTAGGGTTTAAGGTTTAGGGGTATAAGGTTTAGGGCTTTCGGGTTGCAGGTTTTAGGGTTTGAGGGGTTTACGGTTTAGGGGTATAGGGTTTAGGAGGTATGTGTGGGGTTTGTTGCAGTCGTCACATGTGCGCAGGCAGCAATCTGAGGCGCGAGCTCATCTTCCCAATCCACTTCAACTGAGGCGGTGCAAATCTCTTCGTTAAAACAAGAAGCGACGCAGACTCCCTAAACCAAACCCAAAACCCAAAAACCCTTGCAGGCTTTCGTGCCTTAGTGTTTGGGGCTTTCCAGTTTAACCTTCAACTCTTCAGCCGCAAGACACCGTAACAAGAAAGCTCCAACCCTCAAGCCTAAGCCCCAAAACCCTTATAATCTAAGGTAGAACCATGGGCCCTAGTGTGGGCCCTTAACCCTGGGATTATATATCCTATATATACCCTTAAGGGACCCTAGAATCCCCTAAGGGCCCATGTTAGGGGGCCCATGGGTTCAACCATTGATATAAAAGAAAAGACCTCGTAGACTATGCACAACCCTCGAGCCTGGGTCATAACTTTAGACTGTCTGGTGCTAAGTAGGGAATGATTGGAATGGATCCCTATGATAGTCCCTTTAAGGTCCCTTATAGTAGTCCCTATAACGCATTCCCCCATTCCCCCAAACCCTAAACCCTAAACCCTAAACCCATTCCCCCATTCCCTACTAAGCACCAGACAGTAGAGTACAGAACTGACCGCGGGGATCCCAACAACATGTGGCTAGACAGCTCTGAGCCCGAAGCACGGTTTAGGGTTTAGGGTTTAGGGTTTAGAGCTTAGGGTTTAGGGTTTAGGGTCTAGGGTCTAGGGTTTAGGGATTAGGGTTTAGGGATTAGGTCTCCTCCACCCAAAACCCTAAAACCCTGAATCTAAACCTTGTGGAACCCTTTAAAGGAGCCTGAAACTAAACCCTATAGGTTTAGGGTTTAGGGTTTAGGGTTTAGGGTTTAGGGTTTAGGGTCTAGCCCAACGGGCACTATGTACTTGTGGAGCCCTACAAAACCCTGATTCCTGAACCAACCTTGAACCCATCTAAACACCCTATTCTACCCATTAAGGCCCTAAGAATAAACCCTAAACCCCACAAAATCCTCCTTAAACCCTAAACCCTTAAAACCACAACCCTCCTGAAACCCTAAAACCCTAAACCCTAAAAACCCCCCAAAAACTTACAGGAACCCTAAACCCTAAACCCCAAACCCTAAACCCTAAACCCTGAACCTTAAACCCTAAAACCCCGCAAAAAGAACCTTACAGGAACCCGTTTGTTGCTGCCTTTGGCTTCACCGAGCCTTGGTCATGACGTTCACTTTCGCTGACCCGCCGGCACGACGTGCCATTCCTCGGCTTCGGTTTAGGGTTTAGGGTTTAGAGTTTAGGGTTTAGGGTCTAGGGTTTAGGGCTTAGGGTTTAGGGTTTAAGGTATTTAGGGTTTAGGGTTTAGGTCATCCTAACTTACTTAAAGGCAAAACTTTCAGATTACTACTAAATTATAAGAGCCCAAAAAAGTTTCAGAGGTTGGGTATTGGCGAACACAGTGATTTGAAGATAGACTCGTGCATTTTTTGTTTGGTGGTTTGAGGGCTTCAGGGGGTTTAGGGACCCTCAACCCTAAATCCTAACTTAGAGAACCATAAACCCTAAACCGGTTTTCAGGCTTAGGGTGTCCAGGGTTTCAGGGTTGGGGGGGGGTTCAGAGCTGCAGGGCTTTCAGGAGTTAGGGTGTCGGGGCTTAGGACTCTTGCGAATTTGGTTTTTGCTTCTGCACCACCCCTCTTCTTATGGGTGTTACAAGGTTTCTTGCACGGCTTAGTTCTAACATTGATTGTGATTTTCCTGGGGTGGGTGGGTGAGTGGGTGCTTGCTTGGTTTTAAAGTGGTGCCTTTGCGGGCAGTTGATATGTCTAAGCAGGCGGTTACCGAAGAGCTTTCTGGGGCCTCATATGGAGCTTAGGGGATAGCTATGTAAGGTTTCAAATGGTCGTTCTACTGGATCTTGCTTCGTTTCTCTCGGCAGCAACACAGGAAACCGCTTAACATAAGCTCAGATTCGCTCAATGACAGCGCAGATCATTATGCGCTCAGGCTCGTGGAAGTCATCCTGGAACTAATTCTGATTCGTTTGGGGCTCAGGGCTGGGAGCTTCTCTACTTAAAGGGTCATGGGACTTAGTAAGTAGAGTTATAATTAAGGTAACTATACTTATAACCCCAATTAGGGGACTTATAACCTTACTTACTAAGTCCCATGATCCTCCAAGTACTGGAACATAAGCTATGAAGAAACTCTGTGGAAGTCACATGTTTCGTAGATAGCCTCGTCGTTCGCTCATGGCCAAAAGCTGGCACATCTATGCTCCGAAATCCATATGTATCCTTAACAACTACACCCACAAACCTAAGCTACAACACCTTATATCATCCCCTAAACAAGCGCAAAAATGACCCCTAAACCCTAAACCCTAAACCCTAAACCCTAAACCCTAAACCCCTAAACCCGTCAACAAACTAACAGCACCACAGTTCCCCCCAAAAGGGCCAAAAGCACCCTGGGCCACCTTGAGATCCTGTGGCATCTGCTCCAGAACGCGCTTTGCGCAAGCCTCGATGGTGTTCAAGGAAAGGGTTTAGGGTTTAGGGTTTAGGGTTTAGGGTTTAGGGTTTAGGGTTTAGGGTTTAGGGTTTAGGGGGGTTAGGGTTCAGCGGTTTAGGGTTAAGGCGTTTAGGGTTTTTTGGGATCTGTAGAACGGTCCCTGATTATGTAACCACTTCTCGTGGGTTTGAGGTTCAGGAAACCCTAGAATAGAGTCCCTTGTAGTACTTCGTAGCGCTTTTGCTTTTGATCCCATCCTCCACTCTCCCTTAAGGACCGGTAAGAAACTTCATCGGCATCGGAGATGGCCAGCGGCAAGTCGCTGCAGGCTTTTGAGACTGCCTCCAACAGGCTGGATTAAAGGGCAATCTAGACTCCTGTACTCGTTTCGATAATCTGGGGTGCATTCCCAAAGGGTCCAAGTATTAATATGGTAGCTACTTTGTAGGTATTTGGGCCCCAATAGTATATACTATACTACAACTTGGGATTATAGTATGGTTCTATCAGGACTAGAACAAACCAGACCCCCAAAAGAATCTAAAAAATAGATCCCCTAATTAGGGACCCTAACTACTAAAGGGTACCGTATAGGACCCCCCTTAGGGGATCTATTTTTTAGATCCTTTTGGGGGTCTGGGAACAAGAGAATAGGAGTACCAATCTTGCAGCCCTCTATCATGACTTCATGCCAGGAGCTCGCAAGAATTCACAATCCTAACCCCCAAAAGCCATGAACCTAGAGAGCCCAAGACCCTTAATCAAGAAAGATACCTTTAATTTTAAGGGCCTCAATATTATAAGTTAAGGTAAATTCCTTAATTAAGAAGTATTGGGTTCTCTGGGAACTCTGCCCACGATAGCACAATCCCATAGATGAAGCGCTAGCAATTGCACCCGCTATATAGCGCCCTAATGAACGTCTTGCTGCAAAGCTGGAAAACCACACAAACCCAAATTCAACCCCGTGAGGGCTCCTTCAAGTGCTCCTTTAAGGGTTCTTCTAAGGGCTCCAGTACCAGGAACCCCCACAAGAACAGCTCAAGAAGCCTCATGGAGATAGGCGAAGTATCTCCGCACCGAGCGGACACCTTCTGCATCGGTAACAGGGCCGTGGCCTCAAAACAAGGCATCTCAAGACAGATTGAAACCCCAAACCCTGAAGTCTACGCACCCAAAATATTCAAGCAGAGATCATGAGGTACCAGATAACACTGTAACACCCTCTCCAGATGGCCCCTTATGGAACCTCTCTTTCTGGCATACCCTAAACCCTAGGCCCTAAACCCTAAACCGAAATCCTTCTCTAAGGTAGAACCCATGGGCCCCTAGTATGGGCCCTTAACCCTGGGACCCTAATGCACCTCCTTTTTACCCTATATTTTCCCTTAACCCTAGAATCCCCCAAGGGCCCATGTTAGGGGCCCATGGGATCAACCCTAACCCCAAACTCGAGCCCCCTGCCGGGAACAAAGCGCCAGTCGCCTCCGGTGGCCTCGGACACACGGCTTTTCTTTCGGAGGGCTTAGGGTTTAGGGTTAGGGTTTAGGGTTTAGGGTTTAGGCTTTTCTTTCGGAGGGTTTAGGGTTTGGGGTTACGGTAAAAAAGGTTAGGGTTTAGGGGGTTTGGGGTTTAGGGTTTAAGGTTTAGGGTTTAGCGTTTAGGGCTTGGGGTTACGGTTAAGGGTTAGGGTTTAGGGGGTTTGGGGTTTAGGGTTCAAGGTTTAGGGTTTTGCGTTTGGGGTTTA